CACAGTTGTGGGCTCAGTGGATGCTGAACAACATAAATGTGCCTAATCAGGCGTTTACAACACAGAATCTATGGGTTGCGCTATGTATTTTGGTGATCCACTACCGAGATTCGAACCCGTACCGTTGGTATGACGCTTGCGTTGTCTCGAAACAGTACAGGTTCGAATCTCGGTAGCGGGTCCCCAAAATTCTATTACTTGTATATCCTTGCTTGACCCAGCTAATGCTCAATGATGGAGCGAATCGGGTTGAAAAGAAAGACGTCAATCTTGGGACACAACCCGTTGGGTTATGAATACTTGGATGAGTATCACGACATAATTTGTTAGTGGCGGCGCTATATCGAGTCTATTCAGTTTCTTCTTCTTCACCGAGGTCCGTTGTTAGAGTTGGCATGATGCTTGCGTTGTATCGAAATGGTACGGGTTCGAATCACGGTAGTGGATGCGCACTGCTAATGTGTCCAAAGGGAATCCTGATAAATATTTTACCATCTATCAACACATGTAAAACACATTTTATTCTATCACCAACTTTTATGAAATCGATACTTAAAAAATCTAGAATATATCTACCTGCTCCCACAAAAAGTGCAACAGAAATTGTTTCACCCTCATGCAAAACGTCCCGAAATTAACATGCAGATAACGGCCAAATATGAATTAAAAGGCCTACCAAACCATCGTGTTTACACACACACACACACACACACACGCACACACACACACAAAGATATATCCTATACGGAACCGTCATTTAGCTTGACGTGCCTTTACCGATTTGGCCACAGAGGAGCGTTCGGTTAGCAAGGTCGAATTTACTGTATTTAAACTATCGGAGGACGAATATTTTCTCTGAAAAATTATCGGACATTCAGGCCGGTAAACGTTGTTTAATACTGTTTATAATAAACAGAGCACTTACTTAAATATTTGTATCTATAAAAAGAATGTATAAACATAAAAATGTTTAAAATAATTGTCGGATTTTATCCGTTTCATAAAGTGTGACGTCATTTGTTTACATCTGGATACGCTTTGAGCAGATATGAATGTACGTGAGAGATTCATGGAAGCTTGAAGTTTAAAACCAGTAAAATCTGCCTTGCTAATCGAACGATCCTCCGTGACTCGATCGGTTAATGCACGTCAGGCTATATGACTGTTCTGTATAGGATACAGGTTCGATTCCTATAGGAGGACGAATATTTTCTATGAAAATTTCTCAGACATTCAGGCCGGTAAATATGTTATTTAATACTGTTTATTATAAACAGAGCATTTACTTAAATATTTGTATCTATAATGTATAAACATTGTATTTGTATCTATTATGTATAAACATAAAAATGTCTTTAAATAATTTTTTTGACTTTGTCCATTTATATAATATATATATATATATATATATATATATATATATATATATATATATATATATATATGTGAGTCTAAATATATATATATATATATATATATATATATAATTATTTATATATGTCTATATTTCTGAGATGAGGTATTATGTACAGTATTTACATTAGGCGGACTATAGTCCCCATGTTTGTCGCCATATTTGTCACAACGTTTCGGCCGTTGTACGCTCCGGCCTTCTTCAGGTGGTTGGAATTTCGAACTGAACCCTTTATTTCGATCACTGGGGTAGACTGTTCTAGTTCCACGTGCCATGTTTGATGGATGTCAGTTATCAGTTATCTCATACGCAGTTCATACGCAGATGTCCTCAAGGACATATGGCACAGTGGATAAAGGCGTTGGTTAGATCCAGTGACAGACCCAAATAAGGTGAGTTCAATTCCTGGTTAAGGCAGTGGAGAACTTTCAGAGGGAAAATTAGAAGGAGATAACTGATAACTGACATCCATCAAATATGGCACGTGGAACTAGAACAGTATACCCTAGTGATCGAAATAAAAGTTTCAGTTCGAAATTCCAACCACCTGAAGAAGGCCGGAGCGTACAGCGGCCAAAACGTTGTTACAAATATGGCGACAAAGATGAGGACTATAGTCCGACTAATGTAAATATATATATATATATATATATATATATATATATATATATATGAGGCACGGTAGAGTAATGGTAATTTTAGTGAAGATACACACATTAGAAAATATATAGATGAGGAGAAAATATATTGAGGGGTAGTATTGTACGGTGGAGTAACGGATAGGGCCGATTTTGAATTCCAGTCGAATCAATTACATTTACTTACGTCCTAATACGCTTGGGAAAGGTGTGGATCTTCTTCTCCTACCATTATGAGTAAATAGATTGGGTTCAAACCTGTTGTGCACCAGGTCTCTGTATTTGGCCCTTCAAAAAGTGCGGATGGTTCTGGACAAAACCTTCACGACTATAATCGGATCTCATGTGCTGATGTTTACACAGATCACGCAGATGTTTACAGGTTTGATGTGTTGACAGGTTTTGCTAAAAGTAGCAGATAGACCTGCATTTAGTTTCCAGTTAAATCAGGTAAGACAGTCCTCTAAGAAATTTGAAAACCAAACAAGTGACTTTCGAAGCACGAACTATCACCAATCACGATGAACGAACGTTCCCCCAGGAAGGCGCCGTGATCTGAAAGCCTATTTTGTCTGAAACCCTGCCCTTACCTCGAGTGGAACGATCCATTTCTTAAAGATGTTAAGTCCCTGTACCACTCCAGGCTTCGCTTGATATCCTTGACTGTTACAAGAGCCAGATCAAGCCAAAAAATAAAGCACTTTTGCCATACATGAACAGGAGCTGTCTAATCTTCACTTTACAGTCTCGTCCTTCTCTCTGCGTCCTTTTGGATGATTAATTATTTTCCTCCCTACAAACACTTTGATGTATACGAAACGTCGCAATTCACTGACTGCTCTATCACTATTTCGATTAAAATCTTCAGACGAACTACATTTCCTAGTTCCACAAGTTATAATCTTCACAGCTAGGAGCTACCATGCTACACGCATTGTAGCCAATCACACGCATCGCCATCGTATTCCATTGGTGACATAGATTCCACTCGAGTAGCTTTTTTCGCGCGAACCGCTACTCTGTGGAATTCATTACAAAGAAGATCGTTCTCCCTTCACTACAATCTTAACTTGTTCATGTCAAGGTTTAACCGTTCTATTCACCACATATCTGCATAAGCTATGCCTCTCACTTTGTAATCCTCTTCCACGAATGGCTACCGGGTCTTGTACAGGGTGAATTTCAATCTAAAAGAAATACACAGGATATTCCCAAACATCGAAATTTGACTTCCAAATAACATTTGTTTCACTGTGTTTGAAACTTAAAACACCGGATCATAATGCTTCATAACCGCGTCCACTCCTGAAGAGATACATTGTGTCAGCTTTTTAGGAATATGATCATGATCATGCAACCGTCAAACAAATCTCTCTTATTGAACGTGATATTTACTGTCACTCATTTTAATTTACTAAGATATTTTAACACTTCCAATCAATGAAAATCAGAAGCCAAAAGACATGTGCCCGTTTTATAATTATTCTCATCTTTGTTATTCAGTAATGCGACTTAAGCAAATATGAGGTTTTGGATAGCGTGATCAAAGTCATTTATTTCTATTCAGTGACATAACAACTGAATTTCTCAGAATCATAATGAAAGTAAGAAAATGTCATGCTGATGTAACTTTGGTAATTCATGCGGAATCAAAAGCAGTCATCATTCATGCTAGGAGAACATTTACAATGAATTCATTTTTAAGCGCATGGCATTTTCAGTTATTACCGTTGAGCGTTGATGCCATATAATCCGGTGATCACATGTTTTGAAAGAAGGAAGTCTTGCAATTTGTTCAATATTTTTTGTCTGTTCAGTCTATATTCAAAGAAACCAAGTCTTCTCGACAACAAAAGAGTTAATCCTGGTTTCATTTTCGGTTACTAACATTAGACCTGACGACCAACAGCCATTCCCCGACATTTGTACTTCATTGAAATCGCCGTTTGATGATGAAAAATTCACGTTGTATATATATCAATCTCCATAAGAACGTGACTTTTTTTTATTTAATGTTCTTTTTATACGATAAACACATGCATGCTTTCAACGTATGAAAAAACATATCCTTGGTTTTCGAGTCCTGAGAGAAGCGGAGATATAAAAATAAACAAAGTTTATTTGATAGTTCAAAAAGTAAAGGTCCCATTAATCATCATATGATGTCACAAGAAAAAAAAATCATTTTCTCCTTTCACCGAAAACACTTATTTTGGATTAACAGTAAAAATAACTCAATCAGTTATGTCATTTATGGGCCATGCATGATAAACGCTTAGACGATCATGTATCTTTTGATATATAACTGACGAGGCAGATTTTTCCCGCAGTAGGTTGCCATTTCTTTCTACGATAGACCAGTTGCCATACAAGGCTATAGAACCCGGTCTGTCATGCTATTTACCCATAGCTGGGTGAAGAAAAAGGGGATTCATACTTTTCCCAAGGATATTAGCACGTAAGTGAATGTAATGGATTCGACTGGAATTCGAACTCGGCTCTCCGATTCCTCAATCCGTGGAGCTATTCATTACTCATTACTTTTATGTAAAGGATAAAAAAATATTCTCTATTTTTTTATTTGTTGGGCATGGAAGAAAATTGATCAAAATTGTTATTTGTATGCAAATGTATACAAATCACTTTTTAAATTATTTTAAATTTAAATTTGTAACCAAACTTTGTACAGAGATCTGTATAATTCACAATTTTCAGACCAAAAGATTAAATATTGCAACAGAGCCAAAGAAGAATGGATTACGTCTTCAAACTTTATGATTCTTTATACGTGTTGGGGGTTGTCTTGTTCTGTATAATACATATTTCATATCACAATTCATCATCGTTGATATATGGCAAAAAATATATAGATAGATTTGGATCGCATAATCGAAAAAATTCAGTTTCATTTCATGGTTTCGCATTTTCTTATCTACCGTTAACATGGCTTATGGCCATATCACGTTGAAACAGAGGTTCCCGTACGATCACCGAAGTGATGCACCATCAACCCTGGTTGATACTAAGATGGGTGATTTCTTGAGAATACCAGGTGCTGTAAGCTTCGATGTGAGGGTGGTGTAATGGATAACGACTCAGAATTTCTAATCGGGGAGCCGAGTTCCAATTAGTTTCGTTATATCCACTTATGGGCAGGAAGGCATGAATCCACCTTTTTCTACCAGCTACGTGTTAACTAGTAACGTATCAATTAAATATTATTATCACCAAAAATTTAAAATATATATATATATATATATTCCGGTTTTACATAACCTGCATCAACCTAAGTGTTAATAAGCCATAGAAAATGAATAAATCAGTTAAAATAATATTATATAATTTTCACAAAGAATACAAAAATAAAATATAATCTTATGAATCTATTTGATGTGACTTTCGCCACAAGCAAGCAGAAGAATAATATATGGCAATAGTAATGATAATGGTAGATTTTCCATACAAGAAATATTCAGTATTCATTGACACAACAATTAGAGTTACAGTCCGTTGAAATTTATATCCTTTCTTTCAAATAGTTATTCAGGACATTTGAATTCTCTTAGCCATTGTTATACCGATTTTCAATATAGATATCTGTTTCCTTACAATGTTTCTTTTTTTTTTTTTTTTTTTCTTTTTTTTTTTTTTGCTAGTGTGTAAATCTATTAGTTTGATTATATCAATATTTTATCTCTTAGTTACAGGTGATACGGATTTTATGTTGATGTTGCTGATGGAAAAATTAAGTGATTTTGTGAGTTTTATTTTTGTGAGTCTGTAGCGCCAATCTAGGGTCATATAAAGTCTCATATTCTGGCTGTTTTCTATCAGTCGATGTTTTTATGTGGTAGGATACATTTAAATATTCTAAATCTCTTTTTTTTTTACATTAGCGCTTATAAATCCATAAAAAAGCATAGTGTAATTTCAATAGGAGTAGATAGGTTCGCCTATTGTCCGGTGTACAATCCACCATATTTTTTTGAACAGGAGTATTGGTTTATCACTTGTTTCCTGTTTAGGATTGGGTTTGCGGTCCATTCTAAAATCTTTTTTCATCCGTTTTCACTCTCAGCAGCCTCTTCATCGTAGTGGAATCATCGCCTTGCTTGGGGTGAAATGATTTAAAAAAAGGAAAATTTTAACAGATTGTGACTCATTTTCTTTATTCAGCTATGCACAAATAAACATGAAGTTATCAGTCGTTCTTAATCAATTGAATCTTATATGGCATGTTCAAAGAGATATTTAGTTCTCTGATTAATTGGAAGTGTGTGCGACACGAAAAAAAAGAAATCAGCGAGTTGAGTTCAAATTCGATCCGAGACATCTTTTTTTGACTAATGTCTTTAATTCATTTCTACTTCCTTTAAATGGCAAACGGTCTGAGAAGACAACATAGATTTTTTTTTTAATCGGAGCAGGAGACCACTCCGCTTTCTCCAGTGCAACCTTCCTTATGTATAGGCTGGTCCGAAAGTCTTGTCACCGACTACCAAAAACTAATGAGAACAGTAGAAGAACAAGTCATACAGTAATACAAAGCACATGTACTGGATTTAGTTTATTCACTTTCATTGACGCTGTTACAATTCGAGAAGGTCTGTATGAACCCCCATCATTTTCCTGGCACAAAATGATGCGGCGCCATGTCCTATGTGACCTGTGCTTTGTCGATTGTTGCAAAGACTCTCCGAACGGCTTCATTCATATGCTGTCTATTCTGGCATCGTTCACGTGAAACTTTCCCCTTGATAATACCCGACAGAGCGTTGCTATATTATGTAGAGGCGACAAGACTTTCGGACCACGCTGTACATTTAAGAGATTATTCAAATTAAAAAATCGATATAGACATGAAGAGTCGTAGCAGTCTCGGGGAGAGAGATGTCAAGAGTATCTGTTTTTAAAAATAAACGCTTTGATAAGTATTTGTTGTCGTCGTCGACACTCCCCTCGTGGCGGTGGTGGAGATGGCTGTGAATCAAAGAGTGCTTGACGAGGCTATTCGCATGGATTTGATTTGGGGCGGTGGCAACACTGTGTGTTGGAGAAGCCCACACACAAGGCTAGATGCGCCTCCATTGCAAATCAAATGATCATTGAGATCTGGTAAACGTGGTTATATCAAACTTGTCTTGTGCTTGGTCCGTCAAGGTCCGCCTTGGTTACGCCAGCAGGATTGGCGCAACCCTTTTCTACCGGTTTGGCCGTTGTATGCGTGTAGGTCTTTGCCCATTCCGCGGTTGGGATCTTCGGGGGTTGTTCGCATTCAGTTTGATCTTTCCTCTTCGGCCTGACCGGCATAGTTAGCCCTACAGAATTTGGAACTCCAGACGTGTTTGCCCTTGGGATCACTGTGACAAATAGGACCTGTAAAAATGACAAGGAACAACCATATATATTTTAATCTGGATGTCGGAGTGAAAGATTCTTAGCAAATGTACCACTTTGAATTAATATTAATTTAATTACAATAATAATAGAAACAAATAAATAAATAAGTAAAGAATAAATCTAATAAAATATAAAATTATCATTAAATATATGAAAACGTTTTCTACTATTGTTGTTGCAAAAAAATAGATATTTGAGAGATATTATAATTATAATAAAGGAAGAAATTCACTACTGTTGCGATCAAGTAATGACTAAGAAATAACAAAACAAGAGGTTGCAGACTAATATTGTATTGAACAGTAAATACAACAGAAGAGTATTACACGACTTGGGAGTGTGTCTCGGTTCACTAGAGTTCAATCAATATCACCGTCTCTACCGAGGCTTGCTTTTCCTACTAACTTTATAATAAGTTGAGGAGTCCACAATAGCCTCATTATAGGGAGCACGCCAGAAGTACTGCTGAACAAAAATGACGATGAAACAATATATAAGTAATTTCACAAACACAGTGCATTAAATATTAAATGTTTTTTTTTATGGGGCATAAATTGGAAATAACTACATAAGTGTCCAGAAGAGCGATATTAAGTGTAAAAAGATATAATCATTGAGTAAGAATTATAATGAAGAGGAATAGAAGAAATTTGTATGACAACTATAATTAGAATGCCAATGAAAAAACAAACTGCTTGCATATTAGATATCTCTTTAATCCCAATCACCTTCAATCTATACATTTGGTGCTATAGAATAATTATACTGTTTATAGGCCGAAAAGAGATAAGGTAACTACAGACGAGATATGAAAGCAATATTCCATTTTTAGTCTAATATGCCACATGTAATGATAGACCATGGTAGATTGAGTCAGGTACTTTTTAGATCGCTAAACATATATGTTCTTTTGAATAAAGCATCTGTACAACCATAATTGCTGCCAAAACAACAAAACTAATATATATATATATATATTTTAAAAAATATGATTCCATCGCGACAGAGAAATTACTGTTACGTAACTTGGCTCAAGTCTTAAAGATTAATTTCAATATTAAACTAAAAATTTAGATTACAATTTTATTCTCAAGCGATATTTTAGAATAATTCACTGCAAAAATGCTATATTCATTTATAGGTTGGAAATAGGGGTGTATTTTTTTTTCTTTCGCTATTAAGGGGTAACTACTGTGATGAGAGTATGAATGTTTATTATATGTTAAATTTTTGGAGTCATGTAAGGTTTGGTTGGGGTATTTTTCGTCTGGCTACAAAGGCCTTTTTTTCCTTGACTCTGTTGCTGTATTACTATTTGTTAAAACTTACTGACTGATGATCAAGTTACAGCCTTTTTGGCATTACTTTATTTGTTTTTCCATTGATGGTATCTTGAATGGGTGCTTAGATATGATTGGGTTGTATTTTTAATTCTATAGTTTTATACGAGTCTGAAATTTATTCAATTTGCTAATATATTTGATATGGTATGGTTTTATTATTTATATATGGTATTGAAGAATTTTTTTCTATCCATTTATAAATTATTAATATTTAAGGCGTATATTTGTAGGTGTCTGCAAAAAAATTATTTCATTTCTTTGATTTAAATTTTTTTTTTTAGAAACTTGATAATGTGTAGTTTTACAAGTAGGCACAAAGAGCATAAAGTTCAATTCATTATTTCCCATTTTACTGTTGGTGTTTTATTTGTTCTTAAATGCCAAAAATATATAGATAGGGATGTTCGGTTTTGGTTTCTAATATTATTAAAGGAACATTGGTGTTGTCTCTACCTCATTTTAAATTAATTTTTTGTGGATCCTATATATATATATATATATATATATATATATATATATATATATATATATCTTTTCTATATTTGGATTTTCAATAGATAAGATTGTGCATTGGTATACTACGAAATTTATGCGGCATTTTTTAATCAAAGGGTAATTTTCAGGGTTTCTACAATTATATAATCTTTCATTATTATTGTTTAATTTCATTTTAGGATCTTTATTCATTTGATTTTGACATGCGTATTTTTTCAATATTTTATTATTTTTATAATCCTTTCTAAATTTTCAGTACAGATGTAACTTAATTTTAGGGTGTTTTTAGTAAAATCTTCCTAAGTTTGCTGTTATTAGAAAAATGTTTTTCGATTGAAGCTAGGAATTTTTGTCCTAGAAATTTTTATCGACGTAAATGTTTGATCAAAAAGCTATTTCCAAACATCTGAACGAATGCATAGATAAACAATTGTCATTTATATTGAATTCAGATAAATCTGTTCAATAAATTCTGCAAGCCAAAAAGAACAAAAAGACTTGTAAATACATAATGTTTATCAAAACTTCCGATATTTTCGCTATTTTTTAAATCCATGACTACAGTGAAAAATAGGTAGTAGTTAATAACATAAGCCTTAAGAATAGATATGAAAAATATATATATATATATATCTCGTACATTTTAGCATCAGGCACCAACAGATATAAACGAATCCTTACAATATTCAGAAAGCAAATACGAATTTAAAAGCTGATTTTTTGTGAATGCGTTGTTTTATTTTTGTTGATACGATTACGAAAGATGTGTTTTTTTTTTCTGTTTTAGCAGTAGGTCAGAATAAGAGAGATTCAAAAACAGTTAT